CCCCCCCCCCGCCGGCCGGCCTCGGCCCGCCCCCCAGCAACAGGCTGCCGAATCAGCGGGCGAAAGCAGCCTCCCCGCTCCCATTCCCACCTTCCCCCTCCTCCCCTCTATACATGCCGGGCTCCCTGCGCATGCAGCAAAAACAAACAAACAGACTCCACCAAAACAAACGAAGTGCGTGGCCTCATTGTGTCAGCAAAAAAAGGACCCTCCTCCTAGAACCCTGGGTGGTGTGTGGAAATAAAGCTATTAGCTCAAAGCATGGTGCAGAGCTGTTTGGTATTTGATTAGTTACTCCCTTAGTCCTGAGTTTATTGCAGGATTAGCATCTCAACTCGAATGAGAAGACAGTAAAGTTAACCATTCTCATACAGCCCCCTAGGCTGGAAGGAGGACGCAGAGGGTGAGTGGAGAAAGCTGGGGTGGAGAGGGTGGAGCCATGGGGGAACACCTGCGCAGGTGTTCCGGAGGAGAGGACAAGGCCTCGCTGCTGCTCTGTGACCCAGGCAAAGGCCAGGGCCAGACCGAGGTGCCAGGACACCCACCAGGAGGTGCCAGGACACCCCGTAGCTCCTGGCTAGACCTCCTGCTGCTTCCCACCTGCAGCATCCTGTCCCCAGCGCCTGTATGTCTGCCCTGCTTTGCAGTGGCTGCGGCCCCGGCTCCTGGAGGACGTGGGGCCTGGCTGGACACGCGAGGTGGTTCAGATGAGCGCAAGCAATCATTCGCAAGGGCAAGGGCGGCCGGGGAGCCACCTGGAATAACTGAGCGGCACAGAGACAAGCCCCGGGTTCTCTGGGTAGTAATGACATGGCAGGGGGTTCAGGGTTGGACAGGGCGGAGGAGGGGAGGAAGCAAGAATGAGCCGGTCCTGAGCGAATGCCGGAGGGGGAGCTCTGGGGGCTGTGTGGACGGCGACCTGGAATAACTGGGCGGCACAGAGACAAGCCCCGGGTTCTCTGTGTAGTAATGACATGGCAGGGGGCTCAGGGTTGGACGGAGCACAGGAGGAGAGGAAGCAAGAATGAGCTGAGCGAATGCCAGAGGGGGGGCTCCGGGGACTCTGTGGGCGACCAGCTGCGGTCCTGACAGCTCTTCCTCCCTGTCACCACGCAGCGCAGCGGATGATTTGGATGGGCAGAGGTGGGCTGCTGAAAAAGCTTCCTGAGAGATAAGGGGCTGTAACAACAGTGTACCCCACTGAAGATAGCTAAAAGGCCGGTGTCCCGCTGACCAGAACCTGTGTACATACTGTACAGTGTTTTTTGCACCCTGCAACAATGCCTCCAAAACACAAATCTGATGCAAGTGCTGGTGAGACAGCAAAGAAAAGAAAAACCATCACCATGGAAGAAAAAGTAGAAATAATAAAGAGATCAGAGAGAGGTGAAAAACCATCATCCATTGGCAGAGCATGTGGTTACAGTCGGTCAACAATCGCAACAATTTTAAAAGATAAAGATAGAGTAATGGAGCATGTGAAAGGCCATACCCCAATGAATGCTACGATTATTACCAAGCAACGCAGTGGTTTAATTATCGAGATGGAAAGGCTGCTGACAATTTGGATAGAAGACCAAAATCAGCGTAATCTACCTATCAGTCTTTCTTTAGTGCAGGAAAAGGCTCGAAGCCTTTTCAATGATTTAAAAGCTACTCATACAGCAAGTGAAGGTGATTTCAATGAAGAATTTGTTGCAAGTAAGGGTTGGTTCAATCGCTTTAAAAAAAGAGCAAATTTGCATAATATTAAAGTTCAAGGTGAAGCAGCGAGTGCCGATGTCAGTGCTGCAAGTTCTTTTCCCAAGATATTGGAAGATATTATTGACGATGGAGGCTATTTGCCAGAACAAATCTTTAATGTAGACGAAACTGGCTTGTTTTGGAAAAAAATGCCTGAGAGGACATACATTTCGAAAGAGGAAAAAAGTGCACCAGGACATAAGGCATCAAAGGACA